TGCTGGCCGCGAAGAAGTGGTTTTTATCCAGCATCGGCGGTGGAATGTTGGAAACTGACATCGGGCCGATAGCCGGAATTTCTATGTGGTTTTTGTGTTCGTCGAGTTGTAACTGCCGGAGATGGTTCATGAGGGTGAAGAATCTTGCCGAGGTCGTGAGTAGCGAGTATAGGGAGACGGGTAGTTTGGAGGTTAGACGGACGAGGCTGGCGGTGACTGGAAAATCGGCGACGATGGCGGAGAGCGGCGGAGACGCGGAGGAGAGGAGCGGCGGAAGGAGGTGGACGGAGGCGTTGATGGACTCCATTTGGATGAAAAATGGGTCCTCGTTGGTGAGCTCGGATTTCCGGTGGGGGAGGAGCTGGAAAGGGAGGCTGCCGATTTTCGGGTGGGAGGAGAGGAAGGCGGAGAGGTGGTTGGACTCGGCTGAGCTGACGGTCGGGTGAACGGTGATGAGGGTGACGTGGCAGCCACGGGAGGAGAGGGTAGCGGCTAGCCGGAGGAAGGGGAGGAGGTGGCCCATTCCGGCGCACGGGAAGAGAGCCAGGTGGGGTGGGCGGTTTTCCGGCGCGGCGGCCATTGTCAGTGGTGGTGGTATGTTTGATAGGAGGAGCAAAATGAAGGGTCTTCTATTTTACAGTCTTACTCAGTTATTAGTAATGATATATGCCTTTGAATTTCTACCTAACCAGTCATGCCTTTGAATTTCAGTTTTTACTTTTTACCTAACCCGTGTAATGTGTAGCACTTTGTAGTTTTTTTTTTTTTTTTAATTAACTACCTAGATTCATTTAATGTAAAATTTCATTTTTTGTCCATTATATTCAGAAAATCTATGGTGCCACATGTGTCACATGTTATGGTGTCACAACATGATGTGACACATTATGATTGGTGCCACAACATGATGTGTGATAGTTGTGGCACCAATCATAATGTGCCACATCATGTTGTGGCACCATAATATGGTTGTCATTATGTTGGTCATTTTCCAAAAATGGTCCATTAATTTGTCGGACATCAAACTTGATACAATAAGTTGTAAAATTCATCATTTTTGCTCCATTAATCACTCGGGCTGGATAACGAGCCTACGTGGCGGACATCAAACTTGTCCGCGTATTCGCCAGATAAAACGTCACGTAGGCTTATGGACAAAAAATGATGTATTTTACAACTTATTGTATCAAGTTTGATGTCCGTCAAATTAGTGGACCATTTCTGGAAAATGACCAATATAATGGACCAAAAATGAAATTTTGCCATTCATTTAACCCAAGTCATGAACCCGACATATCGTGAAAGAAAGAAGAAAAAATGATAGTATAGAATTCGTCGAAAGAAAGGAATCCATTGCCCAGAAAGCCCATTTAGCTAATTTATGAGCTATCACATTATTTACTCTATCAATGTGGCTACATACACCACAATTCAAGGATAATAGAAGATCAATGATATCATAGAATACATGTTGCAACGGATTATTCAGAAGTTAGTCAGAAATACCACTAATAACTGAAAGAGCATCAGTCTTTGCAGCTTAGATCATGAAACCCGACTCCAAGGTAAACCGAAGCCCGAACCGTATGGCCAGAGCTTCAATAACTATAGAGAAAAGAGGAAATTGCACCTCCTACTTTCAGTTATCATTCATATTACACGTTTGTACCTAATATAAGCTTATTTATAGATTTACCAAATCTTGCATAAAATATTGCACTTAAACCTAAATGTTGAATTATGAATATGTAATTGTTTCTAATGAATTATCCAAACAAAATGAAGTTGAGTATCACAATTAATTTAGATAATTATTGACTTACCTAAAAAAGGGGAACCACTTTTGCAATCTATCTCTCCATCTGCGTTCATTTCTCCCTCTCTCCAAAACCACCTTCGCCCCACGTTCTCCTCTCCCAGCAAAAAAAAAAAATCTTCAATGGCAAATGACTAAACTAGTATATTATCAGTATATAAGAGGTATGGTATATGTAAATATGTTATATAATATTATATGTTTATGATATATCCAGATACAAAATGTGAACATGTTGCACCCATTAGGATATTTATAGTATATTATCAATATATAATATGACAACGATCCACTATCAAAATAATTTTCTTGATAGGTTACAAAACTAGTATATTAACAATATACTATCAGGTATATTATCATGTATATATCAGGTATATTCACGTACATTTGGTCTGTATCAATGCAAGAACTCGTCAGACATTTCTTCTCTGGTATATTTTCGGGAATGGAGAACGATGACGACCACTTCTGCTTTTTTTTTTCCTGTCTGTCTGTCTCAATGATCTCGTGTTTTTAAATTCAAATTGGATTCTTTC